AAGAGCAAATGGAGAGGCAAGAGAGAGAGAGAGAGAGAGAAAGAAAGAGAGGAGAGGCAGAAAATCGGCTCTAGGTCTTCTAGGTATCAAGTGGTCGATTTCCCTTAGCCAAGGGGTCCTTAAATAGGGTGGAGATTAGGGTTTCAGTCCTTATCCTTATGTGGTTGCTTGCTCACTAAGCAACCCATAAGATAAGTCTAGAAGCCTTATCCTTGGAAGAATTCTAGGGCCTTATCCCCTTGAATTCGTCCACCCTATCCATAGGGCATCCATTGCCCTAATTTGCAACTATCACATAATTATAATTTCAGCCCCTTTAGTTTAATTAATTACTTTTGATCACATAATTAATTCTTAATTAATTATTGACCGATATTAATTAAACAAATATGATTTCTCTTTTAATATATCATTCGTATAATATATTAATAAATCATAATAACCTCTTTCTCTATTATTTCTCCAGTCAAATTGCTTTGGTGAAGGCAACCCAAAAGGATCATCTACAACCGGGTCAAGTACTTACCAAATATGGTTACGGGCTTAGACACTAATCTAACACATAGGAACACCACCCACTTCATGTTATAACATGTTAGGAAGGTGATGTGGCAAAATTTGGATGTTATAACATTCACCTTCTCGTTGTCGATGCCTTATAGTCTAACAAATAATGAACTCTTTGGTAAAGCAAGAAGCCACTGGAGAATCTTTTTCTTATCATCTCTCTATAAACAAAAAAAATCTCATAACAAAGTAACATATTTATAGAAAAAGTGTGTTAAACAATCACATTCCAAAAGGAAGATATGTCAGCAAGGTTCAACATAAAGGTTACATCATCACTCAAATCAAATATAATATGTTAAAAGATATATAATTATAAAAAAAAATGTTAAGAGTATGTGTCACAAAATGATAACATAATTTAAAGAGAAGAAACTAATGTATCAATAACTTATTGCAAAAAAAGGGTCAAACACACTTTTAACTCACTAACTCTAGACATAAAGATGAGCAAAAATTCATGGCCTAATTGAATCTCATTAAAGTTATATGTCAAAGATTAAGATTAACTCCAATAATCACACATTAAATTGGTGCATAAAATTGGTGAATATTTAACATCAAAATTGGCGCGTTCCAATAAAACATTAAAATAGTTTTTTTTAGTGGTCAACTATTTTGGCATCTATGTTTAGAGTGTGAAGTTATCCAACACATTAAAATGGTGTATGTTAGTGGTTGGTTAGGATTAAAAATGAATAAATGACACAAAAATGATGTTTTTTAGAGGACCATTGAAGTTGGTTTAAAGGTTTAACACTTTTTGAGAGACTCGGTGAGGGTGAATATTTTTGTTTTTCACTTTTGATGTATATAATTTTTGCAAACTGGTTTAACGTTCCTCTATTTTGTTTAAATATATAATACAATTAGCCTTTTGTTTTGCATCCAATAACCATGAAAGAAACAAATAACTTTGAAAAAATCAAATACAATTATTTATTATATTAGATTTGGAAAGGATGCCATCTGAAAACCAAGGCTCTAATTAGGATCATGAGCTTCTCAAAGAAAATAGGGTTTTAATTTCGTGCCCCTTCAAAGACGATATTCGGTTTCCAAAAGAAATTAGATTTCTAATTTCTTAAGCTTCTAAAAACGATACAGAATGATGGAGATGAGAAAATGGGGAAAATTGATGATCTTGTATGAGAAATAGAGATCTAATCTGGTGTTGACTGTAATAAAATAAAAGAAATAGAAACCTAATTTGGTATTGACTGTAATAAAATAGGAGAAATATAAGAAGTAAAACAAACTGATTTAGCCTTAAATGAGACGATATGAGACAACTAACTACTACGTTAAAAGCAGATACCAAACCCACAAGAAAACATGCACATAAAGATCATCTATGCAAAATTAAAACTTTATATACTTAAACCCCGATTTTTTAACAAATACATAAGTCAAATTTGAAGTTTTCTCAAGATACTATAATAGTTTGATTATTATAAATCCTCATTACATAAAAGATCGTGGAGTTATAAATTTAACATTTTTTTTAGTTGTTTTTAGTTAGTTTGATTGTTCTATTCCCTAAGGCCTATGTCATGACACGAACACTTTTCTTTTCTATAAGTAGGAAATCCTTGGCCTCTGTTATTGTATTTAGTTTTTTATTTATAACTAATAGATGTGCCACTCTCTTTTAATAATAAGACAAAATTATAAAAATGATCCATGTGGTATGCATTTTTTTGGGGTTTTGGTCCAAACCACGAGTTTTTTTTGGGTTGGTGGTCCTTTTGACCATGTTTGTTTGTGATTTTGGTCCCTCGGAAAACTGATAAAACTAAAATGCCCTTACTGATATATTTTTTCTTTTTAATTTAAAAGAAAAAGAAAATAAATAACTAATTTGGGCCCACATCTTTTTTTTTTCTCTCTCTCTCTCATCCCTCTCTTTAGCCATTCCTTCATTCATCGGGTAGAAGACATTCCTTCAAAACTTCTCGTCTTTCTTCACCACCGGCCAAGGAAGAGGTTGTTGGCCACCAGAGCTGCCTTTTCCTTCCTCTTCTGGCCGAGCAACGCCACCTAAACACCCCTAAAGATCGTCATTCTCTCCTAACCCTTGTCTGCTGTGTTTTCTGTCGAATTAAGAAAGAAGAAACAACGAGGAACTACTAGAGCAGCCCCTATCTCCACCATTGTCAGCGATGATAGTCACCAACAGTTGCCTCTCTTTCTGCCTTCGTTCCTTTGTTCTTGATCTGTCGAATCTCGTTGGTTGGAGCTTTGGGGGAAATACACTTACGTTCTTAATCGGCTTCAGGTAACATTTTCTTTTATCCCCGATGATCGGATTTTGTGTTGGATCGAAATTTGGAATTTATTGTTATGTGATTGTTTTAGGGTATACTAGATTTGGTGTTCTCTAAACCACGGGCAGAGATGAACCCATGTTTTCTTCTACAATTTCTGACTTCCTATCAACCACGATACCACAGGGACCGTATTTGGTTGATGTTTGTTCTACGTATTCCAGTCAACAGCCTTTACTTCAATCTATGGATGTGTTTCTTTCTTTTGCTCAGTTTGGTGGCTTAATTTCAGATTATGGAGGTGGAAGCCCCTTAAATTAGGTGGGTATCGTTTGGGTATTAGATGGTTTTTCATTGCTTTCATCTGGGTTGCATTGAGATTGTAGTCAGAGGTTGCTCCGGCAGTCAATGGGGTTGGGAAGGTTGTTTCCCATGGCAATCAAGAGGCAACCTTGCTGCCCTGTTTCACTTTTTTTGGTAACGAACAAGAATGAGAGGGGGGGAGGGAAAAGAGGTGGTTTAGTGGTCGGAGGTTGATTCAGCAGCCGAGTGAGGTTAGGATGGTTGTTTTCGGTGGGGAGAAGGTGGTGGTAGTGGGGGTGGTGTAGCTTCTTCCTGCTTATTTTCCGACGCAACAATGAAAGGTGCCGGAGCTGTGGGATCTACGATGGCATTTAGTGGCCGATGAGAGGCTAGCAGGTGGTGTGGTGGCTGCCTCTTGATCACCAGAGGTGGTAGTCTCCACTCTTTGGCTTCGTTTTTCCGGCAAGGCTAGGAAGAGATAAGGGGTCGGGATTTTAATAGAGAGAGAGAGAGAGGGGGGGTGGATAAGTGGGTCCACTTTTATATTTATTAATAATAACAATTTTAAAAAGTAAAAGAAAAATGAAAACTAAATTTATTAAGGGTATAATAGACATTTTAGTTTAGATAGGAAGTAAAACTGCAAGCAAACTAGCTCAAAATGATCACCAACCCAAAAAACTCATAGTTTTGATCAAAACCCAAAAAAATACATACTACGGGGATCATTTTTGCAATTTTGTCTAATAATAATAATAACAATAATAATAATAATAATAATAATAATAATAATTTATGGCATAAATTCCTATTAAAAATGCTTATATATAATTTTATTTTTTTAAACAAGTTGTTATTGTTTGTTTGAATATATTATAATTTTTGAAAACTAAATAACTATGTGGTCACCGTTGATAGTATCAATTAAAAATTACATATTAAATGATTTTTTTTATTTAAAAAGGTTTTTCATTCACTTTTTCTCAATCAAATTTATTCAGTTGGACTTTTATTCCTTTTAAGTTTTAACATCTGTATCATGTTAAATAAGTAATTAATTATTATATTTGATTTTTAGTTTATTCCCATCATCATTCTCCATCATAAAAGATGCGATATCATAATATATACTATTAAATAGTGAATTATTTTAAATGTAAACCGAATGAGGGGGTCTTAAACCATTAATCATTATTTAATTATAGACTAAAGTCTGTGGTAATTAAAACAGAAAAAGAAGTATTGTTACTTTGAGTTATTATAATAAGGACAAATGCTATAGAAAACTTTAAGTTTGTATTTGAAAGCATCCAATTTTAATTAACCTAAAATCCCGAAAAAGTAAAACCGACAAAAATTTAGAAACTTAAAGATTTTAATCATTATCGCTTATATAATTGTTTTTATTTTCCCTTGTGTATTTGTTTTTACAAATTACTGTAAAATAGCATTTGAATACATAACTGTTTTTACAAATTACTGTAAAATAACAATCAAATATTATATCCAAATTGTTAATTGGAACACATCTTTTGTTTTTATTTGGCGTAATATACAAGTAGATAGCTATCAAATTAGTTCATTTAAAAGATTTTTTGAAATCCTTTGACTCTATGACATTATTTCTTTATCCATTATTTCATATATTTAATTAATGATTAAATATTTTCTATTTTTTAAATTTACAATTAATACTAGCTGAATATAACCAAAAATAAAAAACCCTCACAACCACAAAATCTCTCTTAGTACGTATCATTTGTTTGCGTTTAAATATAAAGCATCTCTCTGCTCATATGCCATCAAATCACAGCTGAGAGCTGACATAATATACTCTTCAAATTCTCAACTTTTCTCTCTACAATGGAATGGAAAAGAGGTCCGGTAATCGGCCGGGGATCTTACGCCACCGTCTCTGTTGCCACCACCACCACCGGAGACCTTATTGCCGTCAAGTCCACCAAGCTTTCTACCTCTGAGTCCTTACAGAAAGAACAACACTTTCTTTCTCAATTAAGCTCCAAATATATAATCAAGTACATGGGTTTTGATGTTGATTATGATGACAACAAACCCATGTATAACCTGTTCATGGAGTATGCCGTCGATGGAACGATTTCCGATGTTATCACGAAACAAGGAGGATCACTTGACGAGTCTGTGATCCGATCTTATACTCATCAGATTCTTCTTGGATTGGATCATCTTCACTGCAATAACTTGGTGCATTGTGATATCAAATGCCGGAACTTATTGGTGTGCAAAGACGGTGTCAAAATCGGCGACTTGGGTTGTGCTAAACTGGCGGAAAACGGTGAAGCCACCACTTCTCAGCTTTCCGGTACACCGGTTTTCATGGCGCCTGAAGTTGCAAGAGGCGAAGAGCAGGGGTTCCCAGCTGATGTGTGGGCTCTCGGGTGTTCAGTAATTGAAATGGCAACCGGGTCGAACCCGTGGCCGGAGATGAATGATCCAGTGTCTGCTTTATACAGAATTGGATTCTCCGGTGACATACCGGAGTTTCCCAAGTGGCTGCCGGATGAAGGCAAAGATTTCTTGGCTAAATGCTTGAAGACAGATGTTAAAGAAAGGTGGACGATTAAAGAACTTCTTCAACACCCATTTGTTAGTAATATGAATTCAGGTCCTGAAACAAGAAGATCACCGACGAGTACTCTGGATCAAAGTTTCTGGGAATCTTTATCAGTGTCGGAACCTACACAGGAACCCGCCCAGATGGTTGACTTTTCCGGCGAATCTCCGCTGGAGAGGATAAGGCAATTGGCTGAAGCGACTCCGTCATGTCTGCCCAATTGGGAGGATGAAGAAGATTGGATCACAGTTAGACGTTATCGGATTGACGAAATGGATGCTGATGATGGTGATCTTGATTATACAGAGTTGTTTAGTTTTTCAAATTCGATTGTAGAAGTAGATGAAGAGCTTGAAAGCTCTGTTAGTGAAGAAGATTTTGGGATCTTTGAGCATCCACTTGTATCTAGAGTTCATGATTTTAATCTGATAATTAACGATAATTTTTTGAAAATAAGAAATCCATCTGTTATGCTTTTAGATCTTTATCTTTCTTCATTAACATTTTATTAATTGTAAAAATCCGATATTTATACAGCTAGTTAACTAAAATCATTCAAATTGACGGGTTTTAGATTATTTAGAGTTCATGATAATCTTATAATTAGCAATAATTTTAAAAAAATAAAAAGTTCATTTGTTATGCTTTTCCGATCTTTATGTTTGTTAGATAAACATTTTATTAATCGTACAAATCTGATATTTATATAGCTAGTTAGCTAAAATAATTCAAATTGATGGGTTTTAGGTTATTTAAATTTGAACATTTTAGCATCTCTACCATGAATATGATAAACTAAAGAGTAAACCCAACTAATCACTTTTTATTTTAAATAATTTTCTGCTTTTTCGATATCAAAACCAATTTTCTACATATTATAATACATGAGCGTTATATTAAGATATCTCGAACTCAATTGTTCGAAAAAATCAACAATTTTTAATTTTCTTTATATTGACTTTTACAAAAACAGTTGATTTACTTTTAAGCTAAAAAAGGTCGAATTCTCCGGCAGGTCAACCATTTTCTGCATCTAGAATTGTTTGGTAATTTGAAGCCAAAGAGGAAGAAACTGAAATTAGGTACAGAGAATCTGAAGGAGTCAATGATTTTGACTTTTTCTTCCTGGCTTCGCTTGAGCTTTCACATCTTAAAATTAAAATTGAAGACTCCAACAAGTCAACTGCCCTTTTCATTGCAGCTTTGCAGGTGCTCCTAAAAGACATCAGCTTTTGGGGCCACATTTGCACACAAACCCAAGTGATTTTACACTCAAAAATCAATATAACTAAGATTTCTCTTTTTGCATCATAGGATTCCAAAATTGCCCTTGGATTTTTCTGTGTCTTTGTATTTGGAGTTTGGTTATTGGGGGAAGTGGCAAACCGGCAATCCACTTGACAACAGGCAAAACGCCCTTCAAGAAAGTCAGCACACAACATTGGTCACCAAAACCAATTTAGTTGACTTTTATCTCTTTTAGGGTAATTTGGTAATTTTTATAATGTTCTTATACACGAATTTGAGGCTTTGAAAATATCCTTACGACCATAGTGACAAATAGGACATACCGAATTCTTGTGGCCACTTTGAGTAGGTGGAATGGATAAAGATTACGATAAAAAAATTGTTGAATTTTTTGGTTTTTTCTATTTTTTTTTTTTTTTTTTTTTTTTGAGATTAGTTGATTTTTAAGGGAAAATGACATAAAAACCCAACAAAGTTTTCAAACCATTCAAAAAATCTCAATAATGTTTTGCCTGTTCAAGAAAACCCAACGAATTTAACTTTTTGTCTAAAAAGTTCAACAAAGTTCCAAACCGTTCAAAAAATCTCAATTTTATTTTGTTTAAATTCATTGGGTTTTTTGTAACAGTCAAAACATGATTGAAGTTTTTTAAACGTTTTGGAAACTTTGTTGGTCTAACAAGTCACTTTCCCGATACAGTAATAAGCCGCGTCATCTATTTATCTTATTTGATTTTCAGGAAAATGTACCTTAGTTGGCTTTTTAGACAAAATGTTAAATTCGTTGGGTTTTTTTAGACAGACAAAACATGATAGAGGTTTTTCGAACAGTTTGAAAACTTTGTTGGGCTTTTAAGTCATTTTCCCGTTTTTTAACTCACGAAATTTATGTAAAATGTTAATTCTATGTTCTTTTAAGACGTAATTAGTATTTTGAAAATACCTTATGACCAAAGGGACTAAGGGTACATGCAAAATTTTATTAGCAAAAATAAACAGGTGAAACAGAAGAAAAAAACAATATTCAATAATTTTAATTCAATATGTATCTATCTATGTATATATATATATCTATATATTTTATAATAGAGATATTTAGGCTAAAGGTAGTGGCTCGCCAACTCCCTCGCCATGAAACTCGCCACCACTCCTTTCAAGGTGTTAAGCTTCTCGCTACTTCTATGCTTGCTAGGAGCTTAACGAAAGGAAAGAGAAAAATCAAAAGTGAAGAAGGGCTATGATTGGTCTCTTTTTTTTTTTTTGAAAAAAATCAAGCCCTTTGATTTGTTCTTTTTTGGTTTTTTTTTTCTCTTAAAATCCAGATGTATACGTGTTTAAGATAAAAGCTTATGTGGAAGGTAAAATTATAATGTGGCAATGTATTTAACATGTGCTAGACATGCTACCATACATCATAGCCTTATAAGCACCACATTCATTTCAAACTCTTATTGCAACTAAAAAATTTTCTAATTTTTATATATTTAGTACTTACAATTCAAAAGTTTTAACCTATGATTATTAATTAGTAATGACTAATAGTTTTTTTATTTTCCTTCCATCTAATACCTTTTTAACTTATATTAGTAGTAGTATATAAGTAAGTTTTGCTTATATAAAACATTCATATGTTTCCACTGTGGTAAATGAGTTTTGTAGGATGTGAAAAATGCTATAAAAATGAGAATATGGAGATCTATTTTGAGAATTTTCAACTTCCAACTAATAGGTTATTTCTTTACATGTAAGTTTATTTGCTAATTTTATAGGATGTATAGAATGCCATATAGAAAAAATAGATTTGCAAATATGAAGCTCTACTTTAGAAAATTTCAACTTCCAACTAATTGATTATTTATTTACATTGTAAACTTAGTTACTAAGTTTAATATTAGTAGCAAACACTAAAAATATATTGAAACTAGATGTATAATTTATTTCAAAAATATGCTTATCATATTTTGTTAACTTTTTGTTACTTTATTATTATACATAATGTATATTATTACGATGTTTTATACATTAATTTGTATTTAAATTTTCTCCAAAAACTGTAGATTCATATTCCATTTGCAAATGTTTTTTTTCATTACATTGTATTAATCCAACGCAACGCACTCGTTTAATTCTATATATAATTCCGAGAAATAGAATGAAGATAAAGAAACAAAATATTGAAATATTATTCGACTTTATAATCTTATTATTAGAAAGATTAGTAATACGGTAAGTTAGAAAATAATGGCAGTTTCATAAAATTCATAAATTGGTATTATTATTTTCTCTTGAACGGTTAAATATTGGATTAAAAAAGTAGGAATGGGCTAGAGTAATTTAAAAAAAATGTAAATAATTGCGTTTTTTCGATCAACTAAACAAGTTAAAACTGAATCTAGAATTTTTTTTTTAGCTAGCCAAGAAAACAAAAACCAAGGCATTAAAACGGAATCTAGAATTTTTTTTTTCGCTAGCCAAGAAAACAAAAACCAAGGCATACTATCAAATAAAGTGGTATTCTTTAATATCCCTATATTAATAAAATACTATCAAATAAAACGGTGTTCTTTTAATTTTCCTATACTAATAAAAAGAGTATTTTTTTTGCAATGTGTATCGTATTAGATATTTTAATTGATGTATTGCCACTTGTTAATCTATTAGTTTCAATTTTAAATTTATTAGACATCTCTATTAATGTGATACTATTTGTCAATGTATTTATTTTCAACAATAAATTTTAAATTTTATATTGTTGTTTTCATTAATTCACAAATAAAAAATGTCTAATATATATTAAAATTTAATTTTACATATTTATTTGAATCAATGATTATAATTTCATATAACTAATAAAAATATCTCTTAATTAATAATTTATTTAAATTAATTGATTAATTATTTTGAGCTTTTAATATAAAAGTTTAATTAATTTTATAACCGTAGTTTCTACGTATTATAAATTAATTATGTGTATAAAAAACCACCCTACCTTCCAGTAATTCACTAATTCCACGTCAGTCGAAACGTTGTCAAGCATGCCACTTCAAGGTAAGATCTTGTCAAGCATACGGCTATAGAAATTTGTAGTATCAACTCAAATTAAAAGACCCTTCTCGAATAGAAGCAACACGAGGCAATGAAACTTCACACTAATTCGCCACTTTGTTCTAAATTTACACCGCAAACTCTCATTTGAAGGACACATGTTTACCTCTCCACATGACAACCACAAGTCATGCAACTTCGGGAGTGGTCACACCACCCAACCGAAAAAATGTTTACACGTGTCATTTTATCTTTACCACCAACCCATTAAATATTGAAAATGATTACAACTTCATAATTTTTTTTATTTGTTTAACATTATATTAAATAAAAAAAACATAATTTATAACATAAATTAATTTTTTGAAAACATAAAAAAATAAAACAACATTTCATTAATTAAAAATATAGAAATTTAAAACCTAAATTACTAAAATTAAACATCATATTGTCTAAAGAAAATAAAAATTAAAAAACATAAAAAAACATAGAAAATTTCTAATTGTCTTCATTGTTGTCATCAGCATCAATCGCCTCGTCGTTACTATCGTCATCCTCCTCAACATCACTGTCCTCATCCTCCTCATCGGCACCATCATTATCCTCCTCGTCTTCACCGTCAATTTGCCCTTGAAATTGTCTTTCTTATATGTATTCGGTCAAATCATGTCGTAGATTGTGATGTGTTTCACGGTTTTGTATTTCCAAAACCTTTGAGAATTATGTCGAGCTGCCAACTTGTATTACTGCAGGTGGATTAAGTATATCGTTTGTGGTATATGGACAAATAGTTTGACCATCTTCTTCTATTATCATGTTATGTAAAATAACACAAGCAGTGAACACTATCGTCAATTTTTTCTCTGTTCCATGTTTGTGTCTGATGTTTAATTATGTGTCACTTTTGTTTGAAGAGTCCAAACGCCCGTTCTACATCCTTCCTTGCAGATTCTTGTGCTAACTTGAACATTTTTCGTTTATCATCGGCCGTAAATGTGTATGACTTGACAAATATAGCTTATTATGGATATATCCCATCACCTAGGTAATACTCACATTTATATTCATTTCCATTGACAACATATGGCATTTCTGGTGCTTTACCCCGTAAAATATAGTCAAATATCGGAGATGCTTGGAGCACATTCAGGTCATTGTTTGACCCCGCCATACCAAATAATGTATGCCAAAACCATAAGTCATTTGAAATAACCACCTC